AAAAGATCAAGTCACGATTCACGAGAAATATTAAAATTCGCCCAATCACGCTTTACGTAAAAAGTATAAGGGACTCTCTATAAACCCGCATTGAATCTTTATTAAGACAAGGTAATAATTTGGAAAAATCAGAACAAATGAGAGTTGTCTCGTCTCTTTTCGTTTTGTCTTTTTGGCCAAAGTTTTCTAGAGGAATTAATCAGCATAAATGTAAACACAACTTCACGTGACTAATGATATTTATATTATTCATTCGAATCGCGCTACATCAGGGAGACGCCCGTCATTTCTCGCTAGTTTGGTTAGCGAACAGCAAGCAGGAGTGATCTTAATCCTTGCAAAAGAAATAATTTGCTTTTGACTTACGAAAACCTGACTTTATTGATATACGGATACAGAAAGAAAGCAACATGCAGCACGGTGTAAGTATTCCCTCGATGGTGAAACTGAATGCCGGAGGACATTACTTCACCACAAGTCTTCAAACGTTGAGCAAAGATCCAAACTCAATGCTGGCTGTCATGTTGTCAGGGTAGTTTGACATGAAACCTGCTGAAGACGGCGCTTTCTTTATCGATCGAGATGGAACTCACTTCCGGTTTATACTCAATTATCTTCGCACTGGACAATTATCATTACCAGAAGGACCGACGGCTCTCAAGGAACTTGAGGCGGAGGCGAAATTTTAGCAGATCCAGGGGATACTGGCTGAATTAAGGTTAATGACAGAGAGTCTGACGTGCGTTAAACTGGATGTTGGCGGCCATTTCTATACTACAAGTCTTCAGACGCTGACCAAAGATCCAAGCTCAAGGTTGGCCGCCATGTTTTCAGGGAAACACTCCAACTACAGCGTATTCTTTATCGATCGAGATGGAAAGCACTTCAGACATATATTGAACTTTCTCCGGAATGGAGAGTTATTATTACCAAAAGGTGCAAAGTTTATCAACGAACTTGAGGCTGAAGCCGAATTTTATCAGGTCCAAGGGCTGATAAATAAGTTGGTGTTTCGGGAGTCAGAGATTTTGCTTAACGACGAGCATCTTGGCGCGTTACGTGGCTGGTTGTACCCTTTGGGGAAACGTGTTTTTCAACTTCTGTTCCGAGCTTCTCGAGATGGTTTGTCAGCCGATGCGTTTCACTCCAGATGTGACAACAAAGGAGCCACAGTCACCATTGTGCAGAGTGAGAACAGCATATTTGGAGGCTTTACTGAGCAGCCTTGGAAAAGTAAGATATAGATTATAAATACCTTGTCACATTAGAAAGTAGTGAAGTTATTCTTTTCAAAGCGGCTTAGGTTAATCCGCGTTTTATTTGCCCGTCTTCTTGGTAGACTCGCACATTTCCACTCTTTCCTTTTGCAATTAAAATTCAAAGCTTAAAAACTCTTTACGTGTTTATGACTACGTTCTCTTGACCAAGATCGCGGTAATCCAGGTTCAATACTATTTCGCACATGAATACTCTAGTCTAGTGAAAATTTAAAGATATCGCAATGTTCGTACAGCTGATCACATGATTTCAAAGGCTAATCAAATTCCATGAACCCGTAGGGAAATTGCCATTTTAGTGTAGTCCTTGAAGAATCAAATCGTGTTGACTTATCCCTTATTGCACGAAATAATTCATATAGATACGTTAATGAAATACATGCAAAATTTTGCTGTGTTTCCCTCTTTAGTCGTGTTTAATTCGTGTCATGGCTCATTGGTTTCTTTCTTTCTTTCTTTCTTTCCTTCAAGAGACAAGATTCCAAGACGTTCTGATACTCAGCGAGTTTTTTTGTCTTTGACAGGTAATGGAGGTCACATGGAATGTACACAAGCTTTCCTATTCAGCTTAGCCAACCCTCATGGCCAGAGACCGACTAAAGTTCCGCTCAATAGTGGAAGGCAAGGGTTTGCCATCTATTGTGACAGTTGCAATGGACCAACGTTCGGCCGTAGTGAGTATTATTGCACTCCCACGACGGCCCTAAGCATTTCACACGACCAAAAAAGGAGGGGCGAAAGCCAGAGTAACGATATATATGAGTTTCCTCGATCAGTGTCGTATTTGTTCACAGGGCTCCCATTCTTTTTAGTGACAAACTACGAAGTTTTTGGACTTTACGACTAATGTCATACAAATCAAGATCAACTGTAATATGGAAAAAAATGGCATTCCAGATGCAAATCTCAATGATTGACAATGGTAATAATTTCAGAATGAGAATCAAATAGGTTTGAAAAGAACCACAAAATTGCGACTTTTGTAAAAATTGAAAGTAAACTCAAGCGTTCGTTGCCGTATCGAAAATATTCTTATAATCAATCTCTTTGAGCCCGGACAACAATTAACAATTGGTTCATGCTTTAGCGTGCACTATCGAGTTATGGAGCACGCGGGAAGTTTGGAGAGCACGAAAGAAGCGTAAGAGTTGCCC